GAGGGGCAGGTGGGGCCAAGGGCTGCGGTGAGGGCTCAGGTGGGTGGTCCCCTGGGGCCGGGCTTTCCTCTCCTCCTGATGGGGCCAGTGACAGGGTTGCCCGTGTTTGGTGACAAGAGGTGGGCTCTGTGGGGCTGGGGCCCAGGTATCAGGAAGCAGGCCCCAGTGCGCTTCCTGGAGCAGGGGGCTCCCACCTGGCTGGAGGGGTGTGGCCATGCCTTTGCCTACAGGGCCTGGGGGCCTGGAGGAGCCTGGTCCGTGTGGGGACAAGGAGCCTCAGCCCCCAGTGAGGGGACTCATTCCTAATCTGCGCGTGTCAGCTGTAGTTACTTTTCTCTCTCCCCGGTCAGTTCGCTGATGCAGTTGGAGACTACACTGGTGCTGTGTAGTAATAATGTTTAGGAGAGCTGAAAGTAGTCGTGTGAAATCACTGCAGGAAAATCTAACCTGTGATTTCACAACAGCTCGCACCCCGCCCCCGTGGTCCAGGGAGGGTTCAAGGGCTTGGCCACTGCCAGGGGTGCTGGGGGCTTCACTGTGGGGTGACTGCCTCAGGCTACGAGGGGTTGTGCACTGCTGTGCTTGGCAGTGCCTGCTCTGTAGGTTCCCTGCACGCGGGCATGGGCACATCTGCCCGTGTCTGTGTGCTCACAGGTGTGCACTGACCCAGGTGGGTTGCACAGGTAGGTCTGTGCGGGGGAGGGGTTGGCTCAGGCTCTGCTGACTGAGGCCCTGCCTGGACCCCTCTTCAGGTCTCCTCACTTGGAGGCAGACACTCTGGTGACAGCAGGAGCTGGCCACCCCCGGGGCTGGCTAGAGGGTCTGGGGTGCCAGTAGACATGACCCTAGACCCTAGACCCCAGACCCCAGACCGACCCCAGACTGCTGGAGTGCCTCCCAGCTCACCCTGAATCATTGTAGCCTCGGCAGTGCCTTGGTTTCCCCATTTGTACAGTGGAACACTTGTATCACCCAAATTGGTGGGCTCACCTCCACACACCGCAGCCTCGCTCCTCCCTGTGGGTCTCCCCATAGGCTCTCTGATCTGTAGCTCTGATTTCAACTTCTGGGCACAGCACTCCCTGGGGCCCTTGGTGTGGCGGTCGTTGTTGGGCTCAGCATCACTGGGAGCCTCACCCCAGCCTGGGCGCAGCTGCAGCCCCAGTCTACAGATGAGGCAACTGAGGCTGGGCAGGGCCAGCACTCCCAGCACAGGCTCAGTGGGGGCAGAACTGTGGCACTGCGTGTGCCCGAGCGCAGGTGAGCCTCCAGAAAGGGCCCAGACACACCCTGCAGGAGTGGCATCATGGGCGGAGGGCAGCTCGTGCTCCCCAGCTGTGTGCTGTGGAACAGGTGCCTGCCCCTGTGACCGCGGGCCCGTGGGACAGACGCACAGGATCTGTGCCCTGAAGCCCAGGGACCTTGGGTCATGCTCAGGGCAGTGGCTCAGTGGGAGCCGCTGCTCCTGGACCCTGTGCGCCCTGCTGTGGAGAGGTCCTGTTGAGATGGTGGTTTTCCTTCCAGGAGAGGGAACTGGCGGGGCCGTCGGCTTAGTTCATCCTCTCCAACCTTCAGGCAGGATGTGCACTGCAGGAGGCCCCTGCCCGGGAAAGCCGGGAGGAGAGAGCCTGTGGTCTCGCTGTCCCCTCGGTCTGCACAAGGCCCACGCCTGCTGCACACTGGCTCACCCTTGGCCTGGCCAGCGCCGGCAGCTTTCCCGCTCCCCTCCTTCTAGGTGCAGGAGTTCCTTCCCTGGGCCCTACCTGACACCATGGGCTGTGGCCAGGATGGAGCTGGACTGAGTCCAGGCTGGGGAAGAGGCCCAGGCACTGATGGTTCAAGGATTCTGACAGCCTAGTTGTTAAACACCAGAATGTTGGACTCGGGTCTACAGAAAATATGATGAACTAGAACAATTTGTGGTTGACAAGTGCGTCCTTTTTGCCACGTGAACAGCACAGTGGCTGGATGTGTCTGGAGAGATAGCCTGGAGTTTTCCTGAGGCCTTTCTAGAACCTGTGGAGGGGCAGAGGTGGGCCCTGTGCAGCCCCCACCACAAAAGTCACCAGGCCTGCTTTGCTGCGCGTCTGCCCCTTTGTCGTCTTTGCTCACAGATGCTTGTAAGAAAGACAGATCCCAGCCCAGCCAGGTGTCCCCGTGTTTCATAGTCAGTAGTGGAAATGGTAACACGTTCCGTGTGTTTGCTCAGACTTCTAATCAGACACACCACAGACAGCCCTGTTCCCTTTCCAGGGCTCAGACATGAGAGCTCCAAGATCATCCCCCAGGCTAGAAGCGGTTTCTGTGACATTAGCCAGGTAGGTAAGAAGTGGCCTCGGACAGCCTAGGAAGGCCCTGAGTGGCTCCTTCGCACAGAGTGAGTGGCTCCCCTGCAAAAGTGGGGCTAAGCCACAGTGACTCGGGACGTGTGTGTCGCTGGGTCAGGTCACCCAGTGGCAGCATGCTTACTTTTTCCAGAAGGAAGTGGGAAGCTGGGGAGAGCTAATTGGCCGCCTTCTGTGGCAGTTGGAAGGTCAGAGAGGCCCAGGGGGCCTGTCAGGTCAGGGCTCTGGGGGCCTCACTGCTCCCGGGGGCCTGTGTGAGAACAGCCTGTGAGCAATGAGATCCTCGCAGGCTGGGTGACCAGGAATAGCGCTGGACATCTCGGGCCCTTGGACTCTGTCTCTGAGGGGGGACAGCACTTGTGTCGGGGGGGCACCAGCAGTCAGTAGTTATTAAGTACCCTGCGGTGGGGAGTCAGTTCCTGTCTTCACCAGTACTTTGTCGCTGGAGGGACAGCATCCATTTTCTTCCCCAGGGAGGCCTGTGCCGTGTGCTCGGCCAGCTGCTGACCGATGGAGCCTCCCTCTAGCATCCCTGTCCCTGGGAGATGGGCACCAGAGAGGGAGAGTGGAGCTCCTCGCCGCCTCAGGGACTTTGCACCAGCTGCTCCCAGTGGGAGGCTCCCCAGGCTCTGACCGAGGGTCCTCCCCACGCTCTCTGAAGCGGCTCCTTCCCTTCTGCTTCCTCCCTATGTTACCTTCCCACCTGTTTGTGTGTTGTGACAACTTGCCTTTTGGGCAGGCTCCCTCCTGAGCTAGTTATAGCTACCTGGAGGCGAGCTTGCACACGGTTGGCGCTCGCTGCCAGTTAAAGGGAATGACCTGATGCCCGTGAACAGGGCAGGCGCTGGGAAGTCCTGGGGTCAGCGGGGGCTCCGTCGTCAGGGCACGAGGGGAGAGTGGTCCCCTCGGGCTGAGATGAGCTGGTGCTCTGAGAGGTTCGGGATTGGTGAGGACATCTGACCAGGGCTCTAGAGGAGGCCACAGAAACGCAGGTGGCCTGGGGTGTCCCTCCGGTCTGATAGCTCACAGTGGCTATCCTGCGACTGGGAAGTTGCTCAGGCAGAAGCCTGTGGAACTTTGGGCAGACCCACGTGTGTGGGCCAGGCAGGTCATCAGCTGGGACCCGAGTTCCAGGCTGGTAGGGCCGCTTCCGGTAGGGAGTGCTTCTGACCTCATAGACTTTCCAGAACAAGCACCATGCTTGTGGCCTCATGGCTCAGCTGACTTTTAGGAGCCCCCAACCCTACTGGCACACCAACCCTTAGTGTGGGGTCAGAGGTCAAAGGCTGCTGTATGCCCCCTCTTGAGAGGCTCTGGAGGGCCTGTCCCTCCTCAGATCCTGCAGTGAGCCCCGGATCTGTGTGACCATGGCTTTGGGCCCCTCCTTGGGCAGTCAGTCCGGGAGACGGGAGGAACCTCCTGCCGCCATGGGCAGCCACAAGCCTACCGTGCCCATGACTGCTCCCAGACCAGGCTGCTGGTCACACGTGGCGGGGCAGTCGTGGGAGCTTCCACACCGAGGGACACTTCCTGTGGGACCATGGGGCTGTCACTGAGGGGCATTTCCTGTGCGGCCGTGAGGGTGGCACCTGGAATGTGGGGTAGCACCTGGGATATGTCACCACTGCCCTCATTTAGGCTGGCCTCCCCACCTCCTTGGGCAAATGCTTTCAGAATCTTGTGGGTCGCTTGTTGGTATTCCCTTACCTCTCTGTTCAGCAGCCCAGTGTAGCTGGGAGGGGTGCCACCTCACCTGCTCACCAGCAGAAAATACCAGGCCCTCTTGGGCTCTGGGCACATTGGTGGGGCTGCAGATGGGCGTGGGTCCAGGACCACCTCTGCATAGTAGGAGCCGTGCAAGTGCGCAGGCCTGGCTGGGGGCAGGGGAGACCACGCTCCGTTGTCGGTATCAGTGTAGCACGTGCTTACTGAACACCCGCCGTGTCTCAGGCCCTGCTCGAGGCACTGGGTGCAGCCATGCAGGCAGGCACAGGTCCCTGTTCTAGGGACGAGAGCTGGCTGAGATGGGGCCTGCTTTCCCAAGACAGGCTTCCGTGGCATCAGGATGCCCTGCTGCGTGGAGCTGGGCTGCTGAGTAAGCCCTTGGGTGGCTCAGGACCAGGGGATGGGCGACTGGAGCTGCAGCGTGTCTGCCTGTGGCCAGCTACTGTGGTGGTGGCCCTCTGCCCAGGAATCCAAGGGGCACCCCCCAGGAAGAGCCTTCCCTCACTAAGGCTAGCACAGCTGCCAGTCTCAGCACCTGCTTCCTGCTGAGCTTGGGCGAGGCCTCACGCTGGGCCCAGATCAGGGCCCTCCATTACCGGCTGGGAAACTCACTCCCCCTCCCCAGACCCCCAGTCCTGACAGGCCCACACATATCTGACCCATCTGCCCCCTACCCATCCGTCCATCTCCTTTCATCCTCCCTCAGATGAAGCCCCCCCAGGGTGGGAGGCTCCTTCCCAAGGTATGAGTGTCAGCTTGCGAGCCCACTCAGGGCAGGGTAGGGTGGGGGCCGGCACCTCCAGGTGTGTGCTGTCACTGCCCAGGTCCCCGCTCAGCACCACACAGTCTCACACGGTGTCCCTGGTGGGGTAACACGTAGAATCGTGGGTCACTGCCGATTAACCAGCTTTGTCCTTTCTCACCCCACAGAAAGACATGGCCCTGAAGCCACATGAGCGGAAGGAGAAATGGGAACGTCGCCTCGTCAAGAAGCCCCGTGAGTCAGAAAACTGCCCGTCTGCAGAGCCAAGTGAGAATGGGCGGCCCCTGGAGGCGGGCAGCCCTGAGCAGGACCTGGAGCCCACCTGCGACCCAGGGAAGAAGAAGGTCCCGCTGCAGCCTGCCAAGCAGGTGAGCCCTGGGCCCTGCCCCTGCTCAGAACCAAGGGCTCTGTGCCCTCCTTCCCCCGGGTGGCCTCGAGACCACACCAGCACCTGGACACCACCCATCGGCATCTGGGCCTCCCTGGCAACGTGCTCCATCGTTGTCGGGTGTGGGGTATGGGGCACACGTGGACTGGGGCCCGGGGCAGCCGCCCGCTGGAAGTTCGGGTCCTGAGCAGAGGCAGGAGACCTGCCCCAGGTGGGTCACAGCCAGGGAGAGGCCAAACCGGGCCAGGAACCCAGGGGTTGGGGGTAGGGGTGCTCAGCTGAGGCGGGGCGGGAGGATGCACTTGCTGATAGGCTGGCCCCGTTTCCCCATTGCGTCTGTCAGGCTCCGCCGACTACAGGGTGTCCAGCGTGTCTGTAATGCGTGGGGACCAGGCTCATTGCTAAGTGCTCTCCATCTGCTAAACTTAAGTGAAATGCAGTGTGTCTGCGAGACGGGGAGGGAGTCATGTCACTTGTGGTTGGTGGTCCAGGTGCAAGGAGCAGCCCTGCCCCGGGGCCTTCCTCTGCAGCTGCTGGGGGTGAGCCCTCAGGGGGAGGGGCTGTCCTTGCTGGGATGGGGCTGGGAGACGGGTCAGGGGTTCTCTCCCCGAGTGCAGGGTTCTGTCCTAGGTGTCGGCTCAGCACTGCAGCTGCTCTCCTCTTCAGGGACTCACTGGTTTGCGCCTTCTTTTCAGAGATGGGTTTTCTTGGTGTTTCACACTCCACTTTCAACTCCCTTGGGGATTGGAAGGCTGGTGAGGGGGCAGCATGTCTCAGGGACCTGGGCTGGATGGGGGGGTCTGCAGGCACACCTGCCCAGGTGGACACGTGCTCTTTCTTCCATGCAGGTGTGCTCCCCAGAAGGGGGGCCGCTCCCAGCCAACCACTGGGACCAGAACAGCCCGGCCCAGCACCAGCAGCAGCTCCAGCCCAGCCAGCCCCAGGGGTCACTCCCAGCCCCGTGTCAGCGCTGCCAGCCCTGTGGGGCTCTCCCGGACCCTGGGCAGCCCTGCCAGCCCCAGCGGCCACTCTCGGGTCAGCGCAGCTGGCCCCAGCGGTCACTTCCAGGCCCAAGACGGCCCTGCCAGCCCCGGCGGTCACTT